TGATGTAAACATCGTCACAAAATGATACGAAATCGTAAATGGACACGTTCATGTTGAAGTTTAAGGATATTGGTAAACCAAAAAAAAATAGCGTGTTCAGAAGTTCTGGACATTAGCCACGTGACCCATACTTCCATATACACGGCTCAGAAATACAATTTATTGTTTTTAGGCACTATAATGTAAAAAATGTCACATTTTTGTGACTGCCCAATTAGCATTTTTTGGTTTAAAATATAGTAGATTAGGTCATTCTAAAAATTATGATACAACATTTGGCTAACGGGCAGGGATCGAACGGTTTTAAGGCAATATTTCGTAAACTTTGTCACACTCAGAATACGATACCTCTTTTCTACTGTGAGGTGTCCTCAAAACCCTTTCAACTCATTATTTGATGGTTTTTCTACCAATCATAGCCCTAAAATATGTTGTTTTGAAAAGTAAGCAAATACATGCACTTATTGGGAAATGATGTAAATTCTGTCACATTATATGGAATTTAAAATTTTGGGTGAATTGCCGAAATCATTTATATCTGATTTTGGTTTGGAAGGCGGGAAAACTGTATAATGGACGATGCACGGATAGAGCTGATTCAAGTTAAGGGCAGTTGATGTAAAAATTGTCACAATAATAATAAGGGCAGTTGATATGAAAGAAAATCTATCTAACTAATGCAATGGCTGATGTGACGAAATTTACATTTCTTGACCTTATTTTGAAGAAACATGCCTCGATTAGAATTCAATATTCTTCCAGGAATTATTAGTAGGTTATTATTCAGCAAATCAGAACTCAAGTTTAACAATTCTGAGTTTAATTTTACTAAGTTACCGAAATGTGACGAAATTCACTTTTCCTGCCCCAACAGTATAATTTCAATGTGATTAAAAATGGGCATGGGTTTCTATATTTCCTTATCTCTGAATTAATCATTTCAAACTATAATTAGGACTGTTGATGTGAAAGAAAGTGAATCTAAATTTTACAATGACGTATGTGACAAAATTTACATTTCTTGACCCTATTTTGAAGAACCATACCCCGATTAAAATTCAATATTCCTCCAGGAATTATTAGTAGGTTTCTATATTTCCTGTATAAATCCATTCCAACTATTATAATAAGGGCAGTTGATATGAAAGAAAATCTATCTAACTAATGCAATGGCTGATGTGACGAAATTTACATTTCTTGCCCCTATTTTGAAGAATCATACCTCAATTAGTATATAATGTTACTTTATCACCATCACTATGTCGATAAATTAGTTATTTTGCCAACACGGAGCAAATAAAGTTATAATTTTTTTTTTTGTGACGAAATTTACAAATTTGTACCCTGTTCAGGTGTTGAAATTTATCCAATGTTAACATATCACTGCCATATAATAATTTATATGACCGGCGTATGGTTGAAATATTGTTAATTGATCCATAGTACGTAATATAGGGTGTTTAAGTTGGTATACTAATATTTACTCAATTTCACACATGTGTTGAGATATCATACAAATTTATGTGACTAAATTTACCTATTTCTGCCTTCTGTATTTGTATTTGCCTATAACAATGAAATATGTGAACAATTTCAAACACATTCAGCTCACAAAATAATGCTAGACTATTCGGTATTTCTTGTCAGGATGTCATAAACATCCCTCATAAAAATTTCTTAAATGTGTGACGGAGTTTACATGGTGCTACCATTTAAGGAAAAAAGTCGCTAAATATGTAGATAATAGTCATATACAGCTATTCTATGAATTGGAAATTCGAAAATTTGGTCAAACACGGCAACAAGGGGTCCATATAAACTCCGTCACGTTTTTATAGTGTGACAAAGTTTACAACTCACTGCCGGCCGCATATTTAAGCGATATCTTATCGTCTGATAAAGATATCGTTATGCGACAAAGTTTATCTAGAGGATGAAACGATTATCTTAGGGTTAGAGGGTTTATATAGTTTCATAGTGTGACACATTTTACATCATCGTGCCATTCAGTAGGGTCACTAATATTTACCAATATCCTCAAACTTCAATGAACGTGTCCATAAATGTTTCACTTCAATAAACGAGGAAATACTAACGTTACAAAATGGGACCTCGAACCAGATTTTATATCCAGATCAAATGTGTAATTATGATAAGAGTAACGAGAGGCGAAAACTAGTAAATAAACTGTGTAAAATGTTGTTTGTATATTTTACACGTTTTTAACATTTTTAACAATACTAAAATATTGGAGGGTTTCAAACTTAGGTAAACTTCCGAGCGGAAGATTGTACAGTATGTATATATTGTACAGTATATATTGTAGAGTATATGTATAATGTATATATACAGTATATGTGTATAATTTTATTGCCTAGTATAATACTAATACTTCATGTTTTATTCCCGGACAGCTCCAGCTAAACTGGAGCTCATGAATGAGCCCTC